AAAACTGAGAAAAAATCGTAGGAAAAACTTGTATTTTACTAGTAGATGCAAGGAAATTAGCAAAGTTATAATTGATCCTCAATTCGAGAGGAGGATCGATCTCTCCCAAATCTCTAGACGCCGCTAGAGCCCAAAGAAAACCTAAATCTAAGAGATCTCAAATTTCAGCCAAATTCAAGATGATCAAACCTAGGAAAATCTACTATTTAATGCATACAAATCAAAAAGAAATCCCTAAACAGTCCCTACATTCAAATTTCTCTCTTAAACCCCAAAAAAATCCTTCCTAAAACGCTCCCGTGGAGCTTGCGTCTCGCACGGTTTTCGTCCAGGCGGAAGTTTTCTCCGCTAATCTTGCGATTTCACCCATGAACCGGTCCCGCCTGGACCGGCTGGACCGGTCTAGTGGACCGATCTAACAGAAGAACAGAGTGTCGTCGGTTGTGGTGTGAAGGACAGTTAAGATGGAATCAGAACTGGAGGGAATCGAACAAGAGGGTAGAGAGATTTCGTGCAAGAGGAAGCTCGTGTGCGGGAAAAGGAGCTGGATGCAATTGGCCTTGTTCTCATTTTAACGACGTGAAAATGAGCCTGGTCGAGGCGGAGTTCCTACACGTGGGAGAAAAGATGCAAATTCGACGTTGTTTAAATATATTCATTAGATCATAAACTAGCCAGAAGAAGAGATAACATGTTTTAGTCACTGAAATGTTTTTCAGCCAGATAGTCCACAAAGTTGCAGCCAACAATTGAGCATTGAGTGCAACACCAAATCTCTTTAAAGGCACCATATCAGATATCCCTCTATTCCACTAATGGGCATGCTTAAAACAAAATCAAAACTAGAAAGACAAAAAATAAAAATAAAATAAAATAAATAAATAAATAAAATAATATTGAGTCTCAACCAGAGCCCCAGACTATTAAAATATAGAAATATTTAATTAAATCTCCAGATTGACTTCTTTGGAGACCCCGAAAGATAAGTGATAGACAAAGAGCTCTACAGATTGATTTATTTGGTCTTAAGTCTGGCTAAAAAAGACCTTGCTATGGTAGTTAATCTAACACCAAAGAAGGCTTCAAAATATGTAAGTGCCCTAAACATGCAAAGGTCTTGCCTTTGCAATTTTTCAAAGACAAAGGTTTTATCAACATACGGTAGACTAGAAAGCCCTAGACCCAAAGTCAAACCCCCAATCAAAACATGGTACAACTTTCAAAATTTTGTACCAAAATGTCACGGAGAAGTAA